TGGCATAGCATGTGGTGCTGGGGATCGAACCTTGGTCCTTGTGCTTGCCTAAGTTTGCCTAAGCAGGTGCTTTAGTCCGCTGAGCTATTTGGATATCATTTTAAACTTATGTAAAAGTAGTAAGACTAACAATGCAAAGAGCTGCAGGAGCGAGAGGAAGGGACACACACACCTGCTACCAGGCTCATCTACAGAACATTTTATCTCCCGGCTCATTTGTTCTTTGCCCGCCCCATCCCCCCACCACAATCACACATTTTTTTTCTGAACCATTTAAAAGTCAGATGCAGAAACAAAGCCCTTTATCCTTAAATACTGCAGTCTGTATTTCTCAAGAAAAGAGATATTTTCTCATATAGCTACAATACAGCTTTATCAATTTCTGTCAATTTAATGCTGACACGATGCTTTATCATTTGTATTCCGACTGTGTCAACCAACTCAATAATGTTTAAAGTATTTTTTTCCTTTCTCCCTTCAGTACAGGATCAATTTGCTGTTGTGCCTCTTTCGATTCCCTGCATCCAGGACGCTTCCACGGTCTCTCTATCTCTTACGACACCAGCCTATTTGGAGAATGCTGCGTTCTCCCTACTCATTTCCTCTGATGAAGGTTCATGTTGGGCTTGTCAGCATTTCCCCGTGAGTCTACTCAGGGTCTGCACAGCTGGCCTGAGTACCGTGAGGGCGAGTCCTGTCTCCTCAGCTTATCAAGATGAACCTACTCATGATATCCACACGCTCCATGCTGGCCAGGTTTATTCCAACCACTTGTGACTTTCTGCTGTGACTCAAGATGAGTGTATAATTGGATTTTGTTCCTTGTAGATTTCTGCATGCTTCATTATCGACAGCCACTCATCTCATAAGCGGGAACTCTTGGCGGTACCCTTGGCCCACAGATATCCCACAAAGCCACCAGGCAGCTTGTGGCTATAGCCCTAGGGCCCGCCAGCCAGCCCAAGGTGCCAGCTGACTAGACAAGGCGGTCTGGTCCAGCAAGCTGCTCCTAGTCAGATGCCATAGAGCCTGGTGTCACGGTCCCAAGGCCCTGGATCAGAGGAGCAGGCCCTGGATCTTAGCAGAGCCTGGGGAAGAGACTCTTACCGTCCCAGCAGCTAAGCTTCAGAAGCCTGGATCTTAGCAGAGCCTGGGGAAGAGACTCTTACCGTCCCAGCAGCTAAGCTTCAGAAGCCTCCGAGTCCTGTACGGCCCAGCGAGGCTTCTCTCAGGGAGCAGCACCAGACCTTTGCTCGGTGCCTCTCAGATGTGCTGGAATGTGCACCGTCGGGCCCACTGCTGACCTCCTTGGGCTCTCTCTGGGCAGACTCTGGGAATCTGTATTTTTTCTGTTTAGCAGTGCTAGGGACCAAACCAGGGGCTCACAATAAGCATGGTACCACTGACCTACAACCTGGTCCCAAAATCTGTACTTTAACCAGTAGATAAACACCCAGATGATGCTAAAGATTCCTTTGGAATCCTATGTGTTTTATTTTATGCATTTACAAATGCTTTGAGAGAGGGCTTACCTACTCGCTTCCCCAGGCCACCAGGGATGTTTGAGGATACAGAGGGACACATTGAGGACCTCCATAGCACGTGCCTCTGCCTGTCCCCTCCCGGAAGGCTGACTGTGGCAGCCA